GTTGTTGAAAAAAAGTACTTGCACTGAAGAAGTCGTTGGTCTTGCAAAATTCTATCGTGAAATCTCCGGCAACATTTCTATCATCAAGGCCATATTTTCCAACTACCAATCCTTCTTCTTTGTCTCCAGCTTTCACATTCCAATCACCAGTAATTATCAACATGCTGATTGCAAGTTTGATCAATTTCAGACTGCAGAAGGTAAAAATCTTCAACTTCTTCATCTTTGGCCTCAGTGGTTGGTGCGTAAATTTGAATAATAGTGGTTGGTATTAACGGATCCTCCTTGTAGGCATACTGATATTATCCTATCACTGACAGCAAAAGATCTTGAAATGTTCTTTTTGATGACAAATGCAATGCCATTCCTCTTCAAGTTGTCATTCCTGGCATAGTAGACCATAATATCATCCAATTCAAAATGGCCCATACCAGTCCATTTCAGCTCACTAATGCCTAGGATATTGATCTTTATGCGTTCCATTTCATTTTTGACTATTTCCAATTTTCCCAGATTCATACTTCGCACAGTCCATGTTCCAATTATTAATGGATGTTTGCAGTTGTTTCTTCCCATTTTGAGTTGTGCCACATTAGCAAATGAAGGTCCCAAAAGCCTGACTCATCCACGTAGAGTCGACTTTGAAGAGTCAGCTCTTCCCCAGTGGTATTTTGAGTGCCTTCCAACCTGAGGGGCTATATCAAACAACGCACTGCTGCTATTCATAAGGTTTTCACTGGCTAATTCTTTTCAGAAGCAGACTGTCAGGTCCTTCTTCCTAGTCTGTCTTAGTCTGGAAGCTCAGCTGAAACCTGTCTGCCATGGGTGACGCTGCTAGTATTTGAATACCGGTGGCATAGTTTTCAGCATCACAGAAACATACAAGCCCCCACAGTACAACAAACTGACAGACGCATGGGGGCCATAAAGATTACAGCCAACAAAACCCTATGGAGCTTAGTTCTAGTCTGTAATACATGGGGTCACCATGAGTCGGAACTGACTCACTGGCAATGGGTGTGGTGTTTTGAGCACATACTAGCTGCATTACCTGAAGCAAGTTATGATATTTGTCTAAGCCTCACTTTGCTTATCAGAAAAATGAAGACAAATATGCCTGTTGAAAGGCAGGGGCACGGGTGAGATGAGGATTAAATCAAAGAATCTGCCTACAGCACCTAGGATAATGCCCAGCACACAGAAGACAACAAAGGGAAGCTGGTGTTATAGCATAAATGATGACTAAATCAGTAGATGTCATCTTGGAAACAGTGTTTCTGAAATGATCATGTAAATCTGGAACAAGGATCCAAATGGCAAAGCTTTGATTTACACAGAATCCTTCAGATTCACCGTCAATATGCAAAGTGAGACTCATCTTGTTTACGGTGTGCAGACGTCTTCTGCTGAACGGTATCGGGTGTAGCAGGTGGATGGATTAAACAAGCCGTCCCGGCACAGTAATTAGGTCCCCACAGATAAAGACAACACATAGTACAGGAGGAACCGCTGCAAACCAGAGTGAGAAAAATCCCCCCAAAAAACTATTTTTATATGAAGAGGGACAGCAGCCAGCCTCCTGTGCAGAGACGCAGCCTATGGCCGTAAGCGTCCCATTGCGGGATTCGTTAGCCACACTAATAACCAACGGCCCCTTCCTGGGAATATTCAGGCTGGCATTTCTGAACAGGCTGTCTTCCTAATCATCTGCCTGACACTGGTAACAAGGAGAGACTCCAGAAAAAAAAGACTTTGGTTAACAAGTCCCTCTGGCCATTCCAGGGTGCTCAGAGAAATACACCTGGCAGAGGATTAAGTTATTCAGAAGTTAGGGGAAGTTCTACCAGTTACTTTTAGTGGCATACGGTGAAAACTAAGAAAATCTGGCACCTGAAACTAATAATGTCATATAAGGAGGAGCAACTAGTGTGTTTAAGGACATCACCATCAATTAATATTGGTGCTGCTGTGGCCATGGCCCTCCTCGGTCTCATTGCACGCCTGTGGCCAGACTTGGAGAAAGAGGAGTGAGGTGGAGGTTATACACAGCCACATCTCAGCTGATGGCACACATCTGTCAGCTCCTGGCGAGGCATGGGTGCCAGGTGTAGAGTCTTAGATCTGCCCCTGACCTTGGGCAAGACACTGATTTTCTCTGCGCCTGAGTAGAGTCATCCTTGTCTTATAGGGTGGTTGTGACGATGAAAGAAGAAAACAATTGCAACCTACCAAGTGCAGCACCTGGCTCTTAGCAGGTGCTCAGTAACGGGGGAGGCCAGGTAAGTTACTGTCCAAGCCAACCCACTTCTGAGATCGAAAGAGGCTGTGAACTGAACGTGAGGCTGGACAACAGGCAAAAACCGGGACTGTCCTGGGAAACCGGGACACATGGTCCTCCTAAGCAGTAGCTACTTCCTGGTGATGAACTACTGGTGTGAAACATCACATTATGGTTGCTTAACTGACAACTGTTGTTGCTGTTGTTAAGTGTTGTAGAGTCAGTTTCGACCCATAGCAACCCCGTGTACAACAGAACAAAACACTGCCCCGTCCTGCGCCATCCTCACAATCGTTGCTACGTTTGAGCCCCTTTTTGCAGCCACTGTGTCCATCCATCTCATTGAGGGTCTTCCTCTTTTTCACTGACCCTCTGCTTTACCAAGCATGATGTCCTTCTCCAGGGACTGGTCCCTCCTGATAACATGTCCAAAGTACTTGAGATGAAGTACTCCTCGCTTCTAAGGAGCATTCTGGCTGTACTTCTTCTAATACTGATGTTTGTTCTTCTAGAATTCTGTGAAATCCAACCCATCGCCATCAAGTCAATTCCGACTCACAGAGACCCTATAGGACAGCAGAACTGCCTCTAGAGTTTCCAAGGAGCACCTGGTGGAAATTCATGGTATATTTAATATTCTTCACCAACACCATAATTCAAAGGCATCAATTCTTCGGTCTTCCTTATTCATTGTCCAGCTTTCATATGCATGAGGTAACTGAAAATACCATGGCTTGGGTCAGGCGCACCTTAGTCCTCAAAGTGACATCTTTGCTTTTTAACACTTTAAAGAGGTATTTTGCAGCAGACTTGCCCAATGCAATAATATGTCGTTTGATTTCTTGATTGCTGCTTCCATGGGCATTGATTGTGGATCCAAGTAAAATGAAATACTTGACAACTACAATCTTTTCTCTGTTTATCACGATGCTGCTTATTGGTCCAGCTGTGACCATTTTTGTTTTCTTTAGGTTGAGGTGTAATCCACACTGAAGGCTGTGGTCTTTGATCTTCATCAGTAAGTGCTTCAAGTCCTCTTCACTTTCAGCAAGCAAGGTTATGTCATCTGCATATTGCAGGTTGTTAATGAGTCTTCCTCCAATCCTGATGCTGTGTTCTTCTTCATACAGTGCAAATTATTTGCTCAGCATACAGGCTGAGTAAGTCTGGTGAAAGAATACAACCCTGATGTACACCTTTCCTGATTTTAAACCATGCAGTATCCCCTCGTTCTGTTCAAACAACTGCCTCTTGGTCTATGTACAGGTTCCACATGAGCACGATTAAGTGTTCTGGAATTCCTATTCCTTGCAGTGTTACTCATAATTTGTTATGATCTACACAGTTGAATGCCTTTGCATTAAATGACAATAAAATACCTAAATTATTTGAGTTTCTTAGGTGGTTTCAGTTTTCTCTTTAACATGTAGCTTTTTGACATATAAGTACACTGTAGCAGGAATTTGCTACATGTAGAAAATAAGACTATATAACACACACATACACCAAGGCATTCTGAATACATGTTGGTCTGTGGGAGGCACATAGCCTGCTCTCAGAGTAGCAGGGAGGCAGCGTCCTGTGCTAAACTAATCGCTCCGGCTTCCCCAACGAGGCTGTGAGCTCCTAGGAGTGGGAGGCGGTGCTTTACTCCCCAAATTTCCAGTGCTAGAATCGGGCCTGGCACACAGTAGGCCCCGAACAAATGTAAATCTGGAACGAGGATTCCAATGCATGCCTGGGACAGAAAAGTCTTCAGGGGTCAAACCCCCCGTCCCTGGATCAGCTTCCCAGGACTGCCATAACAAAGCACCACAAACCAGGGGCTGAAAACAACAGAAACGTACTCTCTCACAGCGCTGGAGGCTTGAAACCCACATCCAGAGTGTCTGCAGGGCCGTGCTCTCTCTGAAGCCTCTAGGGGAAGATCCCTCCTTGCCTCTTCTAGCTTCTGGTGGTCCCAGGGCTTCCTCGGCGTCCTTGGTTTGTGGGTGCACCAGTACAGTCTCCGCCTCCGTCCTCACGTGGCTGTCCTCCCTGGTTGTCTCCAGCATCTTCTCCTCTCATGAGGACATCGGTCATGCTGCCTCAGGGCTCACTGACTGACCCCATTTGAACCTGATTACAACTGCAAAGACTCTATTTTCAAATAAAGTCACATTCACAGGTACTGGGGATTAGGATTTCAAAAATATCATTTTGGGAGATACGATTCAACCTACCAACCCCTCACAGTCCCCTAAATGAATAAGTTCTTTCATTAATTTCCCCAGCTCCCCAGTTTTGTGGTTGCTCATGAGTTCAAATGCTACCCAGGCATCTCTGGGTGGGTTCAAACCGCATTTAACTATTTCAGGAGGCAGGTGTTTAACCGTCTCCACCACCCAAAGGCTCCATGTGTGAACCAGTGACCCCAACAGGGCAGACGGAGCTCCGTGCAGGATACAAGCTGTGCCAGCCACGTGACCAGGAGGCTGCGCGCCTCTCAATATTGGCATTTCGCAGAATTATTCGCCAAGGATAGAACTGAAGCTTCAAGGAGCTCAGCTCCCCCTGGCCTTCTCCTAGCCTGTCCTGGAAGGAATTTTTCCTCAACTTTCTGCTCAGTCCACAAACAGAAACCTAGCATCAAATCCGTGAAGGTGAATCAGCACTAACCGACAGCCGCAGGGAGAACAAGGCACCATGGTGCGGCGCCCCACCCAGCACCCAGCCCCCTTACCATCTCCAGTTTTGCTCGGGTTAGTGGGCTCAGGAGTGCTGAGAGGTCTGAGGGGAATGATGATCTCATCAACGTTCACCCCTTCTTCCGCATGCTTCTCAGAAACGTGGCAGAGGAGCTCCGACTGATTCGGTGAGAAAAGGTTACAACATTTACACATGAAGATGGCAGTGTTTTCTGTGAGAGAAAAAAATGCAAAACATGTTATTTCGTCTCCCACCAAAATAACGATGACTGCCAACGGCTACAGAAAGACAGTAAGGGTCTCCTTTGGCTGCATCAGCAGCCCCCAGCAGGTGGCGTCGCTCCGGCAGACACCACCACTGCCGGGCAGCTCAGGTCCACTGAGGCGCCCCTTCTACCTTCCGAAGATCCCAGTTGTAGAAAATTCCATCTTCATTGTGTCAGAACCCCAGTCCTTCTGGACAGTGTCTAATATGGGCCTTCCTGTTACTCAGATCCAGAGTCCCTGGGTGGTGCAAACAGTTAACATGTTTGGTAGCTAACCAAAAGGTCGGAGGTTGGAGTCCACCCAGAGGCACCTTGGAAGAAAGGCCTGGAAATCTACTTCTGAACAATCAGCCACTGAAAACCCAATGCAGCACAGTTCTACACTGACACACGTGGGGTCATCATAAGTCAGAGTCAACTTCACAGCAATTGGTGGGTACCTAAATCTACGCCAACAGTCCAGAATGCAGTGCAGACAGAGCAAAGCGAAAATTCATCTGGAACGTGAATAATCCTACCCTTCAAATGAATGAGCCACACCGACAGCAATTAAGTATTCTTGCTAGACTGTCTGAAATTTGGTGCAAGAAACAATGGAACAAATAATAACGTTTCACAGAAGCCAAGACACCTTTCACTGGCTGGCACAGGTACGGAGGACAAGAAGGATGGGACTCTGTTGCTCTTTTAAGCCACTTAATTCCTATTTAAAGCATTATCACCGTTCGCAAACATTTACTAAGAGTCCATTATGCTCATCCCATTATACTAGGCAGTAAGACATAGAGAGAAGAAAAAAAAAAACCACTCATTTTTGCGTCTGATAAAATAATTACAGACACCTAAGAATATTAAATTTAGGATTTCAAATTAACAATTAAGAGCTCAATTTTTCTTTTTTTCATTTACACCGAAAGAAAGAATTGTTATAACGGAAAGACAATGGCTTTGAGGTGAGACAGGCCCAGGCAGAATTCCTAGCTCTAGTCCCTAAAGCCGGGCAACCTTGGAGAAGTAGTAATAATCTCTCAGTTGCTGGAATTGAGTAGGAAATGCAGGCAAGGTGCCTATTCAGTAACAAACACGTAAAGCCAGTTGCCATCAAGTTGACTCTGACTCATTGTGACACCACGTGTGTCAGAACAGAACTGTGCTCCACAGGATTTTCTACGGCTGATTTTTCAGAAGTAGATCAACAGGACTGTCTTCTGAAGCACCTCTGGGTGGACTCGGAACCTCTAACCTTTTGGTTAGCAGCCGAGCGCATTAACCATTTGCACTACCTGGGGATTCCAGAAACACAGTGTTGTTGCTGGATGCAGTTGAGTCAATTTCAACTCAGAGCAACCCCATAGGACAAAACAGAACTGCCCCATAGGTTTGTTTGGCAGTAATCCTTATGGAAGCAGATCGCCAGGTCTTTCTCCCAGGGAGCCACTGGGTGGAATCGAACTGTCAATCTTTTAGTTAGCAGCCAGTGTTTAACCACGGGGCCACCAAGTCTCCTTAGAAACATAGTACCCATTGCCGTCCAGTCTGTTCCGACTCATAGCAACCCTATGGGAGGGGGTAGAACTGCCCCATAGGGTTTCCAAGGAGCAGCTGCTTGATTCGAACTGCCAACCTTTTTGGTTAGCAGCCTGAGCTCTTAACCACTGTGCCACCAGGGCCCTAGAAACACAATAGGCATTTAGTAAGCCCCATCCTGATTCAATCCAACGCTCTACCTGCCACGTGCCCTCCCCTAAGCAGCTGAACTGGGGAAAGCCTCCACCCCTCTGCCTGGTTCCCCCTACACACACACTCACCACCCCTAGCCTGGGGGGTACTCCACAAGCCGCCAGGCCATTTGCTCTCTCTAGGTGATGGACAAACATTTCACATCTCTCTTCTCTCCTCATCCCCTCCTTACTCTCACCTGCTGACCATGCTTCCTCTTTCACCTGAAGCAGCCAGAAGACACCTTCCATGAGCTTCCCCACCCCACCTGCCAACTGCCGGCACCTGTACCCACGTCCTCGGCCTCGCTCCAGCAGGTACGAGGCTTGGCAATCGCAGTGGCATACAAGTGTGTGTGTGGGTGGGGGGAGACAGCAGGGTGGCCCACCCCAGTTGGGGGAGTGTTTGATCACTGCCATTGTTTGGAACCGCCAGCCCACGGAGATTATAAAAAGGAGCCCGACTTTTATTTGGTGCTATTATTGCTGTGAAATTCCCTACAGACGATATACACCTTATTGCCTGCGCCTGGGGGGGCTGCTCCCACAGACAAAGGCCACTGGACAAAGGGCGATGCCCCACTTGTGCACACCGAGCCCTAATCCGTCCCACCAGCTCAGACGCTGCCCCAGTAATGTTTGCTTTCCTCCAGATCATCTCTTTTCTTTCTCCACCGGCTTTTCCCCATTGCCTGCGAGCATGCCAGCATTTCTCCCATCCTAAAACAAAACAAAATCTCTCTCGATTCCTCTTCCCCACTCTTCTCACCCCATTGTTCTCCTTACCTTCACAGAAAACCCCCCTAATGCAAAGAGGAAATGAGAAAGGAAGGTGACCGGCTAGCGCACCACAGCTGTGGTGCAGACAGGACCCCGAGGGCACCGGGGCAACAGCGGCAGGGCCCCTCTCTGGATTCCAAGAAAGGGTCTCTCCATGAGCCGGAGGTGAGGAAATGGCCTGAGCGAACTCTCCCTGCCAAACAACACATGAAATAGAAATTTAACAAAGCAGAACATTGCTACGTCAATGAAGATCTCTCATGAATACTGCCAATCGATGCTCCAGTTTTTTCCAAGACATGTTTTATTCCTAAGGAATCCAACATCCTTCCCAAATGAGAGATTACAGGCATAGTTTTTTCCTTATGTGAGGCCATGTCATTTTCATTGTGCTTCCGGCTGATCCTACAGCAATCCTATCATTTGGGCAAAAAAGGCTGTACGATCCCCAGGCTACAGATGAGGAAACGGAGGCTGAGAGGATAAGCAGCTGGCCTGAGTCCACCAGCCCCATCAACACGCTCTCGTTCCGTCTTCCCACTTGGCTGCGAGCCAGGGCTGTGGCCCTCCCTTCACAGGTGCGGAGGCTGACCTCCCTCAGGTCACACGGCCAGTGGAGCGCAGGGCCAACCTGAACCAGTTTTACCCAACCCAAACCCAGAGTCGTCACGGTGCACAGCCTTCCCAGGGTCAGCACTGAAAAGGACCACACAGCCACACAACAGCCAGCAGGCTGTAGCACCCCTGAGCTGTGCAGGTGGTGAGCTCGGATTTGCTATTAACAATGCAACCCTGTATTTCAGAACAGCCTGTCCCACTGCTGTGGAAAACAGGTGATTCCTTAAAAAGTTGAACACAGAATTACCATACACCCCAGCCATTCCACTCCTAAGTACATACCCATGAAACTGGAAAGCAGGGATGCAAACATGTACCTCAATGTTCACTGGAGCATTATTCACACTAGCCAAGGGGTAGAAACAACCCAAGTATCCATCAAGAGACGAATGGAGAGACAAACCATGGACTATTACTCTGATACCTGCTACAACATGGTGAACCTTGCAAACAGTATGCGGAGTGAAATGAGTCAGACACAAAAGGACAGACATTGTATGACCCCTTACGGGAAATATCCACAACCGGCAAATGCTTAGGGACCAGAGCTGGCTAGCTGTTTCCAGGGAATGGGGAGGAGGAGACATTGGGAGTCACGGCTGAGGAGCGCCAGAGTTTCTGTTTGGGGCAACGCAACACTCGTGGAAATGGACAGTAGTGACTGACTGATGGTAGCATGTGGTGAATGGAAATACCGTCACTAAATCGTACAACTAAAAAAATGGTTAAAATGGCAACTTCGTTAAATACATTTCACCACAAAATAAAATTAAAAAAATTAAAAGTCAGCCTGTTCCAGAAGATGCCAGAGCAGAGTGTGTGCACTTGTTCCCTCTTAAAAACCCCTATGCGCGCCTCCCCGGCTTCGACCTGAGGGTGCTGCCCTCCGCAGCTGTCATAAAGTGCAGTGTGGAAGTGCCAAATGCCAGCACCCCTAAGCAGAGCACCTGATCAGGCTGCACCCCCAAATATTAAGAATTGCTAATCCACCAAAATCACAACAAAGGAGCTATTTTCATTTTTTATAGTGGACCGAAATGAAAAAATGTATCTTGTACCCTGAAATATAATCGTAATTATGTTGTCAGCTAACACTGATGAAGATGCTATAATTTTGGGTACATTTTTAGGTCCAATTACTGCATGCTCATCCTTAGCACAAGAATTCAAAGGAAAAATGATGTATTCAGCAGAACGCAAGTAACGCAAGTTTGGGGTTTGAGCAGTTTCCGTGAATTACTTGCCAGTTGTTAATCTGTGACTGTTCCATTAAAAAGGAAAACCTTAAATAACTCTATAAACAAATCCTCAGTCCCAAGCTCTGATCTGCAAACCTTCCCACCCAGGAAAAGCCAGGCCCTGCTGCGCCTTCTGATGCCGCCTGCTCACCACCCCGGGGTGGTGTCTGGGACAAGGAAGCAGTGAAGGTCTCCCACTAGCTCCTCCTGGGAGAAGTGCAGGGATCAGAATGGGTCTGTTCCAGGAGGCTGGCTGGGCCCGTTCGACGGCCAGGTGAAAGGTCACAGCCAGAGGGTGGGTGGTGGGCCACTGCCAGGTGAAAGGTCACAGCCATAGGTGGCTCGTGGGCCACTGCCAGGTGAAAGGTCACAGCCAGAGGGTGGCTGGTGGGCCACGGCCAGGTGAAAGGTCACAGCCAGAGGGTGGCTGATCGGTTCCTGCCAGGTGAAAGGTCACAGAGGGTGGCTGGAGGGTCACTGCCAGGTAAAAGGTCACAGCCAGAGGGTGGCTGATGGGTCCCTGGCAGGTGAAAGGTCACAGTCAGAGGGTGGCTGATGGGTCCCTGGCAGGTAAAAGGTCAAAGCCATAGGT